TTTGTAGAAAAATAATAAACAAACTTTTGTGGCTCGATCCTCTTATGAAGTTAAATATCGTGCTATAGCCTCCACAACAGCAGAGATCGTTTGGTTGTGTTGGCTACTTGCTGATCTTGGCGTTTCCTTGTCTGTTCCTACTCATATGTATTGTGATAACACTAATGCCATTCAGATTGTCGATAACTCAGTGTTTCATGAGCGCACAAAACATATTGAGATTAATTGTTACTTTATACACCACCATCTTCAGCTGGGCACAATATCTCTCCCCTTTTTTCCTTCTACTATGCAGTTGGCAGATTTCTTTACGAAATCTCACACCATCGCGCGCTTCCATTTTGTTCTTGGCAAACTCTTTATGTTTGATACTACTACATCATGAGTTTGAAGGAGGATGTTAGAGTATTTATATTATGGGTAGTTTAGGCATTTTATATTATTTTGTTGCCCTAATATATAAGGGCCTACATTGTGTATCAGTTAAGAAGGTTGTATTACTTAATGGATTTGTCTCAATATCATTCTCGACTTCTCTCTCTCTTTTTTCTTCTCTTTGATCAATGTTAACACTAGACAACCCAATGCCCAGTCCACCTGCAACAAACCGACAGCAACACAGACCTAGCAACCACCAAAAACTACCAACCTAGGAGCCCAGTACTTCCATCGATATAGCCCAATAGCAACCCAAAACCAGCAACACCACCCAACCCAACCCAACTTCAGCAGCCCAATAACCCACCAACCACTGCCCAACCACCAACAAAACCACTAAGCCTCCCAGCGAAACCACCCACTGCCCACTACCCCACTCCACCTTTGGCAACCAACGAAATCAACCAGCCCACCGACAGTCTCAAACAAACCAAAATCGCCAACACCAACAACATCCCACAAACCCAAACCAGAAACCCCAGTCCAGCAACCCAACGATCCAACCAACAGTGATCCACTGCCCAGTCCAACAATCCAACAACAACCCAATTAACAGCATCAACCTAATTGCCCTACCTTCGTGCTTTGAGCTCTTTATGACATTACCGCCATCTCTTCGCACCACTAACTTCTTTTTCCTGGGTTTGTAGCATCTAGGAACATTTAAGGGGTTGACCACACCCATTGTACTTGAGTCTACCTTTTGCATAGGAAGTCCGATATGCTCCCTGTCATCACTCAATTTCTCTAGATGATCAAGACACAATTCGATGCAATTGCTCGTACTGTTCGTCCAGATAATGCCAAAGAATATGTGTCTGATGCCTTAGTGTCTCACATTTCTTCCCAGGGTATCCTTGAACAGCTCACTTATCCATATACTCCTGAGCAAAATAGAGTTACTGAAAAAAAAAATAGGACTCTAATAGGGATGGCACATTATATGCTTAGAAGTATGGAATATCAAAATCTTATTGACATTTTACTATTTTGATTTCTACCTTTTTGTACGATCGTACACCGAGTTGTGTCTTTCAGCATAAGGCTCCCTTACAGGTCTTATTCCCTGAGCAGACACTTTTCCCAGTCCTCTCGTGTTTTTGATTGCACATGTTTTGTTTAGGATTGGTCGCTTACTCGCCATAAGCTTAATTATAATACGATTCGTTGTGTCTTTATGGGCTATTGTCATCAATCTAAGGGGTATTGATTTTATAATCCTATTAGGGGCCGTATATATTACAGTCTAGATGCTATCTTTCTTGAGCATATTCCTTATTTTTCTTCTAGTCTTGTGTCTGCCACTCCAGTGGATGATACTCCCTTTAATTTTCTATTACCACAAGAGCCAAAGCCATTGGTCACTATCACTACAGAGTCATCAGTCTCTCCTCCTCTAGAGCCACTCGTCCCTATCAGTATAGAGTCACTAATTTTTCTTCCTTTGCAGGTTTATGTTTGTCACTCTCACTCTCATCCCCCTACTGATATTCCCTCTACCTTATGTGATACAGGTAATATTTCTTAGTTCGTTAAATATATTGATGCACCTGTTGTTAGTACTAATGAGATTACAAGTATTGAACCAGTTACTTTATTTTATTAGACATTACTAGTGGAGGATAATGATTTAAGGCGTCGTTATCCGCAGCGTGATCGCCGTCTAGTTTGTTATGGTTAGACTATCAAAACTTTATATCCGATCTTTGTTTATGTTTCTTATAGTGATCTATCTCCTACATTTCGAGCTTATAATATGGTCTTATCAGATACACCGGTTTCTCGCTCTGTTTCTGAGGCTATGAGGGAGCCCTAGTGGGTTATTGTCATGCAGACGAAGATGGATACTCTTTAGCGTAATCGTTCGTGAGATCTTGTCTCTTTACCTTTAGGGGTGAAGCCTGTTAGCTGTCGCTGAGTTTACACCTTAAAGTTTCTTGCAGATGGTACTATTGATCATCACAAGGCTAGACTTATGGCGAAGAGCTTTACTCAAGTACCAGATCGTGATTTTGGTGTTACCTTTGCCCCCGTTGCAAAATTGACTATCGTTCGATTGATTATATCTCTGGCTGTGGAGTACTCTTGACTTCTTCATCAGCTGAATGTAAAGAATGTATTTCTTCACGATAATTTGAATGAGATTATTTTTATGAATGCATCACCCGACTTTCGTGGTGAGGGGGAGTATGCTGACTGCGTAAGTTTCTTTATGGATTGAAACCGTCACCACGAGCTTGGTTCTCTCAGTTTAGTGGTGTAGTTATACATTTAGGGTTTGCCAGATATCATTCTGATCATATATGCTTCATTCGACGGAATACTTCTGGGCAGTGTATCATCTTTATGGTATATGTAGATAATATTATTATTACTGGGGATGATGTTTCCAGGACTGCACAGATCAAGGTAGACCTTGAATTTCTGTGATACTTTCTTGGAATTGAGGTACCCGTAGCGGCAGAGGTATTGTTCTTCAGAAGAAGTATGTTTTGGATCTTCTCTAGCACACTGGGATGCTGGGGTGCAAATCGGCATCATCACGTATGATTCTAAACCTGAAGCTCACTGCTGAAGGTGAAGATTTGAGAGATCCGACTGTCTATCAAAGGTTGGTAGGTAGACTTATCTACCTAGCCAACACTAGGCCAGACTTTTTATTCGTTGTCAGCTGAGTTAGTCAGTTCATGCACAGGCCGTGTCAACCTCATCTTGATGCAGTTTATCATATTCTTCGGTACCTCAAGTCTTGTCTTAGACTTAGATTGTTCTATGCATCAGAATCTCAGACTGGTTCTCCACTCTGTTATTTAGATTCAGATTATAGGGAAGCATGTAACAATCGATCTACTACGAGCTTCTGTGATTTTCGAGGGACTCATCTTATCTCTTGGAAGAGCCAAAAATAGGCGGTTGTCTCTCGCTAGTCAGCAGAGGCAGAATATCAGGCACAGACACTTGGCACTTGGCACTTGGCACGTGTGAGATTATCTGACTACGATCGATTCTTGGCGAGTTAGAATTTCTAGTAATTTCTTCATCCACATTATATTGTGATAATCGATCTGCTATTGAGCTTACTTCTAACTTTGGACTATATGAAAGGACAAAGTATATAGAAATCGATGTTCACTTTCTTCGGGAGAAGGTTAGCTGTGGTATTGTCACTCCATTGTTTGTGGGGACTAGTGATCAAGTTGTGGATGTTTTTGCCAAATCTGTCACTCTATCTATTCTCTAGGACTTCGTTGTCAAGCTTGGCTAAGTTGATATTTTTGCATCTAACTTGAGGGCGAGTATTGGAGTTATAGTCTAGTTTATTAGGGTGTTATTAGGATTTCTTCTTTTCCCTTGTTTACCCTTACTATGACTTTTATATTTTGCCTAGACCAGAGGAATGTTTAGGTCACTTTGTATTATTGTTTGGCTATATATACAGGGTTTTACTCTTAGTTTGAGTATCTCTTTTGACTCACATATTTCTCTAGTGTCAACACGTACATCACCCCTCTAGTGCTCATTGGACAGCTGCAAAACGTGTCTTGTGTTATCTTTTAAAGGCACTGCCAATCATGGTATTTGGTATACAAAGGGTGATTTTCAGCTTCAAGCTTACTATGATTCCGATTGGGATGGATTGCCAGATGATCATCATTCTACATCTGGCTATGGTGTATTTTTTGAATCCATGATTGGTCTGCTAAAAAGCAGAATGTTGTCTCCGTTCAAGTACGGAAGCTGAGTATTGATCCTTTTCACGCACCACAGCTGAACTTTACTGGTTGCATATGCTATTTCTCGAACTTCAGTTAATCTTCCCCCTCCATCAACATTGTGGTGTGATAATATCATGGCTATTTCATTGGCCTTCGCTCGGACTAAACATGTTGAAGTTAATTTTCACTTTATTCGAGAAAAAGAGATTAATGGTGATATTGTTATCAAAAGTCCAAGTAACCGTGATCACTTAGTCGATTTGTTCACTAAAGGTCTCACCTCAATTCGCTTTTCCGTGCTTCGGGACAAGCTGATGTTTTTGCCTCCCCCATCAGCTTGCGGGGGGGTGTTGACCAACCTGAAGAGAGATATACTCAAGTCCCACTTCCTCTAACAGATAAGCATGGAGACTAGTTTCGGTTTAATTTTTCTGATAAGATTCTTTGTAATTTAATCTTCTAGATATAGATCAGCAATTATACATATTGTATCATATAAATACAGTCAATACATTAACGTTTTGGTCAATCAAAACACCAAAACTTTTATACATCATTTCATGTCTGTCATTTACTAATGTCTCAAACTGGTTGCAGAGGGGCTTATCAAAACAAAAGGAGAGAAAAAAAAATGGGTGTAGAAGCCACCTTATGAATTGCATCGGATTCTTAAGATTGTTGCATATTATTTTCTATTTTTCAATTCATTCATCAAGAAGCACCACAATGACCCTGGAAGTAACACCAGCCGCATACACGCAAACGCAGAAGGCATTTACCATTGAATTGCCTCTGATAGTATGTGCTGTGAAATTAGAAATTAAAGGGGGTTCTAAAGTCACTCACCTGACTCATTCGAGGCCGCAGAATTGGAGTCTGTTCTATGCACAAGGAGGCAGTCAAGATTACATGATCCATTTCTTCTGGATTGTAATTATCACCAAGAGAAGGATCAACGAGTTCCTTAGTTTTATTGTTATCAAGCAAAGGTTTTGCCTACAAGTGAATTTAAAAGTTATCAAGCAAAGGTTTTGCCTACAAGTGAATTTAAACTGTTAGCCAATTGATCCACAATGGAATAGAACACTTGAATTTGCAGACTCAAACATACCCAAAGCACAAGGCTCTGCCGCAAATCATCTAAAGCTCGCCGTCCTGTTATGAGCTCCAAAAGTAGCACTCCAAAAGAAAACACATCAGTTTTCTCATCTACTATGCCATGCATAAAGTACTCGGGAGCAAAATACCTGTGAACGAAACATTACTATGAATGGGCTAAGATAGAAAGCAATCATAAGCTTGCAGAATAACTGAATAAGAGTTTTTGGTTACATACCCGAATGTGCCTTCAAACTTTGACACATTGTGGTGAGTCCATTGTTGTGGCAGCCAATTTGCAACCCCGAAATCACAAATCTGGATTGGCATGTGATATGTCATTCATTGAACAACTAATCAACATATACAGAGTACAGAAGCCCTATTAAACCGGTTTACAATGCACTCCAAAATACAACAGTTCCTTCACCACTAGCGAAAGAAGGATTTTCCATCAATTACAGAAGTCCTTTTCTGCATAATGGAAATGCTTTAAAAGTTTTAGGTTTCTAAAAGTCAGAAACCTCAAAAAGGTCAACTTAAAATTCAGCCAAGTGCCACATAACCAAAACAATGTTTCTAAGCGAAATTAGTACTGTTGTGCTGCATACTTGCAGTAGCTTTTTGTTAATGAACCCTTGAAATTAGCAAATGATTAAGCATTATTTTGGCTCTTTATCTATTTTTTAAACATACAGCAATCTTGCTTGCAAGAACTTAACCTCCCAATCTGTATGATTGTCAAACAGCCAATTACCAAGTGGCACAAAGAACCAACTCCTATGCTTTCATATAGGAGCAGTATTTTAAGTACGGATTTATATTACACTAAACTTTACCTTTGCTGCTTTGGAGGTATAAGGAAAATATTTAGCTTATTGGTGGTATATTAATGCTACAAGAAATTTATTGTGAATGTCTTTTATTCCACTCCAAGCAAGAGACTGATTTAGAAACATGTTCTCTTTAGGGATATTGTGATGACCCACAAAAATAAATAAATAAAATGTTAAGACCCCGAGAATGGAAATAGTGTAGGGTATTCTTCGGCAGTAGCCCGTTATAAATGCTATTGGAGGAAGTTAAGGTTTCCTATCAGTAATTGTGGTAGTCTAACTTGAGATATCCGTGAGTGAAATAGATACAAACAAAGTGTAGAGCTCCCGTATACATAGTCAAATAATAGTATAAAAAAACCTACACATCCCTCTGGTCTAAGCAAGACATAATAGTCAATAACGGTAAAAAGGCAAAATTCTAATAAACTAGACTATAACTCCAACACTCCCCCTCAAATTAGGCGCAAAAATATCAACTAAGTCAAGCTTGACAACACAGTCTCGGCGAATGAATAGAGTGACAGGTTTGGCAAAAATATCTGCAACCTAATCATTGATCCTCATAAACGATGGAGTGACAATACCACAACTAACTTTCTTCCGAAAAAAGTAAACATCAATCCCTATATACTTCGTCCTCTCATGTAGTACAGAGTCACAATCGAGCTGAATAGCAGATCGATTATCACAATATAATGTGGACGGAAAAGTTATTGGAAATCCCAACTCGCTAAAAATCGATCGTAACCAGATAATCTCACATGTGCCAAGTGTAAGCCCCGATATTCTGCCTTTACTGATGAGCGGGACACAATTGCCTAGTTCTTGCTCTTCCAAGAGATAAGATGAGTCTCTTGAAAAGCCCAGAATTCCGTAGTACATCAACCGTCACACATTCCCCCATAATCTGAATCTGAATAAGAAGCTAGAGAACTAGTCTGAGATCCTGATGCATAGAATAACCCAAGTCTAGGACAAGACTTGAGGGATCAAAGAATATGATAAACTGCATCAAGATTAGGGATGGCAGTGGATCGAAGAAAAATGGGTATTTGTCCAAATCTGTCCCGTTTGGACTGGGGATAGACTATACGTATTAGACGATGGACGTATACAGAGATACCCTTGCTGGGATGAAGGAGGAGAGGGACTTACCTTTACCCCCTCCCCGTCCCGTCCCCTCCCCGCCCTACCTCGTCTCATCTATCCCCGTTAACTACATATATATATATATATATATATATATATACTCCCACGTAAACCTTATCTTTGTAACACCCCGCATTTTCTTTTATATATGTATATAGATATATAGTAAATAATTGTGATAAAAAAAAATGTGGATATATGTAGTGATGTGTGTTTGAATTTGGTAGATTGAAAAAGTATAGATTTAAAATATTAGTGAAAATAATAGTTGAAATTTGGTTTTAATAAGTGAAAATATGAAATTTTAGGTCCTAGAACTTGTATTAAATAGGTTTGGTGTAGAAATATGTGTTGGAAAGGTTTGGGATAGATTTGGTTGGCTTAGGAATGGATTGGAAATGGAAAAGGGACGAAGACAGGCTATGAACAGTGCACTGCTGTAACTTCAAGCTCGATTTAGACCTTGATGCAGTCAATATCTTTCAAAACTCAAAATATGAAAGTTTTAGAGCTCTTTCGTATCATTCCATAGCATCTTGAATCATCTCAATCGGAGCTTGGATGAGAGAGTTATGCTCAGATAATAAAATAATGTCGAAATAGTCCAATTAGCTTCGTTTTACATTTAATGTCTTCATTTGCATCTTAAATCAAAATATAAGAATAATGAGTACTTTTAGCCTTCAAATAAATATAAAAGGCTTTAAGAAATACTTTTTATCACCTTTTATTTGCAAACATTGCAAAACTTCATTAATAGCCGATTCGGATGGGTAAAATAGAAACTTTAGTGTTTCGGGTGTACGTTGACTTGGGTGTTGAGATAAATCATAAAAATAATTTTTTTTAGGTTAAAATAACATTAAAAATGAATCCGGAATGTCGAAAAACCTTAGGGTAGTCATATGGATCAAATTGGAGATTCTTAGTGGCAAAATCGTAAATTTGGAGAAACCCAAAACAGCCTGTGAACAGTATTTTTTGGGGCTGCTATGTTTTAAACTCATTTTTATCTTATTTGCTCTCATTTCCTTCACTCCCCTCACACCCCCACACCTCTTGAAACCCTAAAGAGCATTAGAGAAGAAGAAAGGAAGGAAAAAACAAGAGATTCAAAGGTGATTCAAGATCAAATATTCTTGTTCTTCACTCCAAAGCTAAAGATTCAAGGTAGGAATTTTCTCTCATTCACTTACATTGAGGCTAGGGTATTTATATATGTATGTTTTGGCTATCAATGGTATATTTATGCTATTGAATCATCCTCTCTTAGGCTTTTTGCAAGGATTACATATTTTGAACAAAGTAGGGTTTAATACCCATAAAATCTCCTTTCTAGTTTTAAAACCCTAATTTTTGGAGAGTGATGTATTTCCTTCCTAAATGCTTTCTTTATTATGGATTTC